CAATTGTATACTCTTGAGGACAGCACTGGTGACATGTAACAAGACCTATTCTTCCCCTGCTCCTTCTTCCCTTTTGATTCTCTGTCCTAGAATCCTCAGTGTCTCCCAGCAAGTCTAAGAGTTCATACGGCAGGTGGCAGACACATTAGGAAAATTACCTGGCCTTTCCAGAGTTCTCTAACTTGGGGAAAGTTCTGTTTTTGCAGCATTCTGTGGCTGCCCACATACACTTTTTGTTAGTCACACAACAGAACACCCACACATTCTTTGCAAAGTACTAAGGACAGCATTTGAGAGCCTGACTCTGAGTACACTGCATGTTTTTAATCAGTTGTTGCATGGAAATGGATTAGAAGTCAAAGATCCCTGAGATTGAACTTTGATTTGTGTGTATCTCAATAATTGCCATTCTGTTAAGTTAGCAATTTTGGAAGTAGGACCTGAACCTTGTTTTGCAGTATGGAGCAGCCGTAAGGTTCTCATGGAAGCCTGCTATCACGAATGAAAAGCTTTCTTCCTGTCCTACTTTTAAACATGTGGTGCTTTCTCCTTTCAGGCAAGTTGGAGGTGGGATAATAAGAAGACAAAGATAATCTGAAAGCTTAGTTGGCAGAATGGTGTGGAAGATAGCCTTGGCATTGGGCTGAGATTCTAGTCTTAGCCACTTACTACCTAAATGACTTTGGGTAAGTCACTTAATCTCTCTGGACAAAAGTTTCTTCAGCCATAAACTAGAGATAATATCAGCCCTGCTCACCTCATAGGCTCAAATGAGATAACGCGAAAGCTGTGAAATGCTATACAAGTCACCAAGGACTAGTCATGAATACCAGTAAGAACTGAACCAACAGTGGCTGCATCTCTGAACAATTTTCCAGGAACAAGCCAGACTCAGGAGACACAGATAAGTCATTCGATGACAGGTAGTTAAAATGAATAAGTAAAATTTTGCTCCCGGTGAAGGCTTCAGAAATATCCTGAGGGCACATAGACGGTCAATCCTAAAGATACCACCAGATGGTGGTGGAGGCTCTGGGAAGACAGAAGTAAAGCATCTTAGGAGGCCTAGAACTTTTCAAATTAGGGTGGGAAAAAAAAAAAAAATCAAAGCTACCAAAGAATATGCCATAGAGAGGATCAATGAAGAAATCTTTGACATTGTAGTTAAGCAAAATAATAACTCAGGAAGTCCAACAAAAGCTAAAAACCTCTGCCAAAATTATGTTATTCAATATTCAATGAGACAACTCAGAACATTTTTTTCTAACCAAAACAAACAAAAAAATTCTTGTTTTTGTATATAATGTACAACTCCTATGCAGATTCAGTAGAATGCTCTCCGGCTACAGAGAGTGAAGGGTAACTGAATTGTAGAAGTGCTGGTTGCTAATGCCTGTGCAGATTTCAAATCTCACTCTGCATTTCAGCTGCAACTACTAGAAGTTATGGCAACTGGAGGAAATAGATCCCCATGAACACAGAACTCAAGATCTCTGGGAGCAAGGATTGTATCAGTGGGAGCCGAGGCTGGACTCTCCAGCTCTTCGTTGTCAAAGCACCTTGGGGCTTAGTTCTGGCTTTAAGGTTAATTACTGGTTAATTTTGGTAACTCACCTTTTCAGACTTCAGTTTCTTCTGCTCTCAAGTGAAATGGTTGGAAATAAGTCCCTTTACAGTCCCAATGTCCTGTAAGAAGTGTCTGAGAGGAAAACTTCAAATAGGGAGATTGTGGCTATCACATTTTGAGGAAGTACAGGATGCGACGCTATAGCAATGGGGAGAGTGGGCTTGTCAGAGAGTAGATGACTTGCAGAGAAATAGAAGAGGATGATTACGGGATCTTCGGCTTGTCTCTAGGGAGAGACAAGCTGAAAGAAATTGGACAGCTGAGCAATCAGAGAAAACCTGAAAGGTGGTGCACACATGAGGGTAGCGGGAGGGACACTGAGAGGCCAGCTGGCGTGTGGAGTAGTCAAATTATTAATAAGTCATTTCTGCCAGCACAGTCCAGAATACTAAGTTAGCGTTGGGGTGGCTGCAATTTAATTTAAACCAAGGAATCAACAGAAAGCCTAGTCAGAAAAAAGAGCAAGAAAACATATAAATAGATCATCATGGACTAGGGCGGCAAAGGATGTGA